ATCACATTTAAAATGTAATGTGAACGTTCACATCACATTTAAAATGTAATGTGAACGTTCACACAAAAAGATCGGATTTTTTCAAAAAATCGGAACTGAGCATTAAGACCTGCAGTGTGAACGTAGCCACATACTGAAACGGCCTGGGTCGGATTTGAAAAAAAAATCAGATTTTTTACAATCAGACTGTCATAAAACATAAATAAATCAGATACGGGTTACGTTTGCCTGCAGAAGTTATTTTTCAAGCAGAAAAAAATCTACAGGATGAAGAAAGAAAAAAAGACAAGAGAAGCACTTGGAGAAGAGGGGAGAAAGGGAGTGGGTGAGTGGGGCAGTGAGACCTGCTCCAGAACCTGATACTGGGCTGAATCACTGTTTTAGCCAAAGGCAGGACCAACAAGAAGGCAGCAAAAGATAAAATAAAGAAAGAAAATTTAAAAAAAGAGCTATTTTGGCTGCTGCCGCAAACCCGTCGATACCTGGTAGCAGGTGAGTTCCCTGAGCCCCCCTCCCAAAACAGACAAAAAAAGTCAGCAGGGACCTGTGGCGAACAGACTCGCTAAAACAGCAMTGTCCTCCAAAGATATCAAGTTTACGGTTAAGTTTAGGGCAGAACAATACCCCAGGACTTATTTACCAGTCCAATGCAGATGGATTTAGGTTTGTTAATTTTTATTTAAAGATCTTCAACTTAATTTTAGATGTTTTTATAATTTATTTTTTAATTATCTTATATGGGGTGTTTTTCAGTACCTGTCCCATCAGAAAAAGTTTTAAAGTCATTAAATGCTAAGCTCCTGGTGTAAGAAGATAACTTAGGGCTGGTTGTTCTGTGATGGTCAGGGATTAGCGAAGCTTCACAGCCGGCGGGTTCAAAGGGCAGTGAAGAAGAAACCACTGCTATTACAGGAAAGTAGGACGAGCTGTGGGTTTACAGTAAATACAGTCAGTGATCCACAGCGTCAGGTTTGTCTCCATGTTTACAGCTATGTTCAAATGTTCATATCATGCCCATATGAGAACATGAGAGACAGCCTTTTTTAGCCCCACCAGACTCTGAWTTTATCATTTATCCTCTAAGCTCTAAAACTAAAGCATTCCTTCACCCCCCATATGGTTTTCCTCACAAATGTTTTTAAAGAAACTAAATAAGAAATTCAGTGAAATTTGTATCAGAATGTTACAGGTTTAATAAAAGGAAATGTATTTGGTCAATTCATGAGGTATCAGTTCAATTCAGTTTATTTATTTAGCTCCAACTCACAACATACGTTGTCTCAGGACACTGTAGATAAAAAGAACAATGTAAAGAAGAAAGCAGCAGATTGTGTTGAATCACTTCATCACAGTCTCCCATCCTGAGCAAACGGTGGAGAGGAAAAGCTCCCTGCTAATCAGGAAGAAACCTCCAGCAGAACCAGGCTCGGGCTTTTAGAAATTTACTTCTTGAAAAATGAAATATTTTTTGTGTGTTATTGAAAAATAAATGTGACAGAATTAACCTTTTGCCTCATATTAACTGTGATAAATTTACTGCGTATATTTAACTCTTCTCTGTGGTCGGGTTGTGGAGGTATCAGTTCCTGACCCGGACCTCAGGGACCCTCTTCAGATCCTCCTGAAGGATCTCGGTGTGTTCTCAGACCAGTTTTTTAAAATGACATTTAAGAATTGTGCAAGAGTTCCTTCACTCGATCGGCCCATAAACTGTTTCACTTCCTGGTTTAGTGTTCAGAATTATCCAGCAAACATTAACCAGGAACATTTGAAATGACAAACAAAACTATAAAC